TGAAAAATGTTAGTAGGTAAGATCCTCTTAAGCCCAATAAGAGCAAATATAAAAAAGCCCAAAGCCCTGCCTAGTTGATCAACATACATGACCTGTCCATACGAGCCACAACAGTGGTTGGGCACTTACGATAAAATCCTAAGCTCCAAATCCCTAAAGATTGAACCCCACACCCCTAACGCCTAGACCCTAGAGGCCGTAAACCTTCAATGCGCAGACTCCTCGGAACCTGATATCTGAAACGGCATGGCGCTTGTATTCCAGTCTGCTGATTTTCTCCAGCGCCAACTGAGACAGCAACAGGTGTGAGCACTCATGTGCTGTAGGTTTCTCTCACGGCTCCATTGATGGGTTGTACATGAAGGTCGTGACAAGGTTTTGTAGGGTTTGCGGGATTTAGGAGTTTAGGGTGGGTTCGGTCTCGACACTCCGCAGCAGTGTACCTCCATATATATATTCCATATATCATCAAAACAAAAATGCGACTGGGGATAAAGCGGTTGTGAACGTGAAACAAGCTAAACGTAAAAAGGAACCATATTGGCAGTTGAGACACCTGAAAGGCGGCTGTAACAGCTATGGCAAAGCCAACGACAACGGCAGCAAGGATCACAACAATTTCCACAACGACGACAACAACAGCGATAGTGACGGTTAATCCCACTCCTTCCTGTTACCACTACTTGCACTACTACCACTATGAACACTACTAAACTACTACCAGCACCACGACGACCACTACCGCTACCGCGACCACGACGACCACCACCACCACGACCACGACCACGACCACCACCACCGCCGCCGCCACCACCACTACCCTACTACTGCTACAACAACAACAACAACTACAACTACTACTACTACTACTACTACTACTCCTACGCTACTGCCACTGCCACTGCTACGCTACTAGGCTGACAACAGCAGCAGCAGCAGCAGCAGCAGCAGTAGCAGCAAACACAAAACCTCGAAAAAATCGATTCGCGCCCCACCCAATCATCATCCTCACCATCTTCAACATCATCGTTAACCTGACCATCTTCATCATCGTCATCTTCATAACCATCATCCTCACCATCTTCAACGTCATCGTTATCCTGACCATGTTCATCGTCATCCTCATAATCATCATCCTTATCATCATCATAGACCCAAATTCTACAGACTCTGCGAAACCCAGCATTTTACAGCCTCGAGCCACTGAAAGCTACCAGGCGCCAGGAGGCGCGCAACCCTAGTAGTAGTAGTAGTAGTAGTAGTAGTAGTAGTAGTAGTAGTAGTAGTAGGTAGTAGTAGTAGTAGTAGGAGTAGGAGTAGGAGTAGGAGTAGGAGTAGTAGTAGTAGTAGTGGTAGTAGTAGTAGTAGTAGTAGTAGGGTTTCCCCCCCCGGTGCGACGCCCAAACCGCTTATTTTTGGGACTTGCTGTGGTCGAAAATGCTGGTATTTACAGCACTTTTTTCCGCAGTTATCGAAAGTGACAACAGTTCTTGGTTTCGTGTGTATATTTATCATATTTTCTAACATTGTTCATCAATGTCGCACACGAAAATGCTGGTATTTACAGCACTTGTCTTTGCGAATTTCATGATTTTTTACTGTTTTTGGGTGTCTCGATTTTCGTGCCCAAAACCTAGCGATCAGAATCAAGGTTTTTTGGGCCTCATTTTGATCATGATTTTCATTCAAATCGTTTGTTTGGATAGCATCCATATCCAAAACCTAATGACGTCCATGGTCTAGCGCATTTGGGTTTGGAGAGCATCCATGTCCAAAACCTAATGACGTCCATGGTCTAGCGCATTTGAGTTTGGAGAGCATCCATGTCCAAAACCTAATGACGTCCATGGTCTAGCGCATTTGGGTTTGGAGAGCATCCATGTCCAAAACCTAATGACGTCCATGGTCTAGCGCATTTGGGTTTGGAGAGCATCCATGTCCAAAACCTAATGACGTCCATGGTCTAGCGCATTTGGGTTTGGAGAGCATCCATGTCCAAAACCTAATGACGTCCATGGTCTAGCGCATTTGAGTTTGGAGAGCATCCATGTCCAAAACCTTTCGAAATGTTGCTTCTTTGCATCGCACCGAGCGGGGGTGGTACTTTCCACTGCTCTCTAACAGCTTACTCTGTGGTACACTAGTTCAATAAGGAGTATAGGCGCAAGAACCGCACATCAGCAGCATCCAGCATTATCATGTTCATCATCACTTTCGTCAGCACCATCTCGAATATCATCATCATGAACATCATCATTATTATCATCATGATCATCTTCATCTTTAGGTTAGGCCGGATTTCTTTGAGCCTGTGTTCGGGTAGTCTCACCATCAACCCTCCCTGTAGAACACAGGCTCAAAGGAATCATCATTCTCATCATCATTATTATCATCATGATCATCTTCATCTTTAGGTTAGGCCGGATTTCTTTTAGCCTGTGTTCGGGTTGTCTCACCATCAACCCTTCCTGTAGAACATGGGACATGATGTTCATCCAAGAACTCTGCGACCGGCGTCGCACCAGGGGGGGACGGCCTAGTAGTAGTAGTAGTAGTAGTTCTTGGTAGGTGTTACGTCTGCAGCCGCGCGGGGTGGTGCAATTCCTTTGCTGGCATGTGCTGAATCTCGAGTTTTGGCACTTTCCGCCCGTTATTGAACTTTGCTTTTGCTTTCGCCTCGCTTTTTGCGGTGTTTTCTAGCAAAAAAGTGATCCGGGGATGACGGCCATGCGAACGCGGCTTGTGTCTTCTGTTTCTCTTGTTGTTTCCTATATACACGGTGTTTTTGCCGATTCTCGACCTTGTGTACATGCCAGCTTTAACTGGCAATTTGTCTTTCAGCTCTGTGCGGGGGTGAGAGGAGGGATGGGGGGGGTGATGACGTCCATGCGAATGCGGCTGGCGTCTTCTGTTTCTTTGGTTGCGTTACTTCTCAATCGCTCCCAGTTGCTCTGTCAACTTTTGGTTGGGGTTTTTCTTCTTGCTTCACTTTGGCAACGTCCACCATGCAAAAACCTCGAGTTTTTGAAGCTTTCCAGTCAAAAACTTCCCAAATGAGCCTGAAAGCAACACAAATCAAAGACGAGAAGCATGGTATTTGCGACACTTCCGCAGAAACCTCACCAAAAAACAAGACAAACAACTATGACAAGTTAAGTCCGATACATCGTCTTCTTGACGAAAACCACGCACAACCCTGGGTTTTCTAGCTTTTGATCAAGAAACCTCCCAAAGATAAACGACACACCCCGCGCGGCGGCAGACGCAACGCCTTCCTTGTTCTTATTGTTGGTTACAACATGATGTGACGGCAATCTCCGCCTCCATATCTTCGTGGTCGATGGGGCTCACATCGAAGCGACTCAAAAGCGACGCATCCAATGGCTGCCTCGTTGCAAGAGACTCGGAGCACCCCTTCAATTACTCAAGGGCAGGTGAAAACTTCTCAAAGCTTGCATGGACTTCAAATCTGGCATGGCAGGGGCATGTCACACAAAAAAAGTGCTGCGTCGCATCGTGAATTTCATGCTCCAAAGTGCGGCCTTTCGCGGCCAGGTCCATAGCAAGAGCCACATGAGGCCATGCCCTTGGCTTCCACACTCGCGCAGGCCTTTTGAAATGACAGTAACAGGACTCTCACCCTGTTCCCTTTCCATCCTGTCCCGCTCTTGCAAACCAGGGCTCCACTGGTTGGCTCGCTCGACGAATTCATGGATGCCAGCGACCGGAGACCGCCATCCGAGATTCTACAGTACTTCCCTTGACGGGCACGAGACTTGAAACCACATGTTGGGCCCTCTAGCCTCACTACACTCCTGCTGGACGAAATCCTCCGCAGCATGCTTTGCCTGCAGGCTAGGAGGCCAGGCTGCACATGTCCCATGATTCCCATGTTGAGCTCTGAAGTCAACCTTCCTGAACCGGGACATGAAGAGGCATTTTCGCAGCAAGAACATGTGAAAAGTGATCACAGGAATCTCAACCCGTTCGCGGTAAGCCGAGACTTTTTCGATTTCAAACTCTGGAGTGCGTGGGTTCATTGACTGTGCGTGTCCGCTCGCTCGCGATGAGCAATGAGCTGCTGGCTCCAGGCAGACAGGTAGCACGTACTAGGTTGAATTCATAGGCACGGTCAGGCATGGGAAAGTGCAGCATATCATCGCAACTTTTCCCGCCCGATCGATCGCACTAACGAAGGAAATTGAGGTTCGTCACATATTATCAGCTGGCTGATTCAAATCTTTCCGGCGGTTTGCATCTACTACTAACATGGAATGTGGCCCTCGAACCAAAACAAGGATGGCCTAAGACCCAACTCCTGGTAGTCTATACGCACCCTCTGGGGTCATGATGTCTGCATCGTTTTCTTAGCGGCAGGTGCACCGGACTCGAGCATATTCCGTGACGCGCAGGTCGATTGCAGGCTCGACCCTGCAAACATCTTGCCCCATGACTGATTCCAGGTTGAGGCTATGAGAAACATGATCATGTTTAACCTTGGGTTTTATGATAACAAACACGTAGATCATAGCCAACCAGGACCCAGATGAGTTGACATCCTGGGACAAGTGTTCTTGCCGAGTCGAACTCTGTACATACGCCTTCCTGCGCCCTCCCGGTATGCAAGATTCAAAACAGGGGCCGGCTGGTCCCACAGGCAGCCCCTCAGACCTTCCAAAATCCGTTGATTAAGGAACATACCGTACGTGTAACTTAAACTATAATAAAGTCCCTAACATGATTTAGGAATACTCCTTGACTAAGTGATTTTTGAAGGTCTGGGTCCTCCTGTTCTGGGCCGCTTGAGTGATCCTATTATAAACACCCTTAAAGCACTATTGAACATCCGCAGCGATAATCCGATGAACATGACAGACACAAAATGTTCCTTCCCTGGCTAGATCCCAGACATGCGCCTTGAACCGGCAACTCTAAATCCGCAACCCCCGCCAACCCGGCAAGGTTCACCGGGTTCGGCGAAAGTTCATCACAATGCGAACTCACTTGGCGCTCTTTGCAGCCTCGGACAAGCCGGCTATGTGTGCCTCGCCCCTGAGCATGTGAAGAGTCGCGATGGAGACTCATGCGAACGAGTTTGTACTGATGGTGATGATGATGACTTCTCCTGAATATTTTATCACCAAATAAAGCAGACAGAAACAAGCAAATACCTATGGAGAAAGAACAAATCTGAGTCATGTTGGAGTCATGCTGAATATGATAACGAATAACCATACATGAAGAATTGTACATACATAGCAAGAAGCTTCGGGAAAACGAACTATAACAAATGAACTGCTGATTTAATAACAACAACAAGTTAGAACTAATGGCACGCACAAAAAACATACTATGATGATGATACTGAAACATGGACCCACTAGTACCACAATGAAACCTAAACCCGATAGTACTATCATGAAACCTTAACCCAATAATACTATAATAAACTCTAAAACCCAACCCAATAAGGCGACGGCCGGCTTCCACTTCTGCTTCGCCTTGTGCCTGGGCCAGTGCAGCAACCGTCACAAATATCGCATGTTACGGGGAATGTACGGATCAAACTGTCTGGTCTATCTGCCTATGTGTGTACCGATCCATCCATCAGTTTATTTATCTATCTATCTACACACGCATATATACATATACATGTGTATATATATATACACCGTACACACTTCCAGATATAGATCTCTCTCTCTGTGTGTGTATATATGCTAGTACCATGTGTGGCAAGGATGGCCATGTTCTGGCTTCCGACGGGCATGGCCAAGTACGTCGCTGCTACTGCGCACATCGACAAGCCAAACCGTTGGAAAATACTAGGCTCATCTCGGAACCACATTTGACCTTTGTAGTTCATCCAATGCCTGTGAAACTAGCAACTAAACCCCTTGGGTTGGCAACTGCTCCGAGTGGCCGCTTGCCCGCCCTGCGATTTGGCCTGGATGCCTTGGGTGGATGCGTGCTGGCACGCAGGCTGGCGTGCGGGTTGCACAATTTGGGAGTTTCCGAAAATGGGGATCCTAATATAGCACCCGAAATAATAGGATCCTTATTGCATTTGGGAGTTTGGGGCTTGAAGGTTGGCAAAGGTTCAGGCTTCGGCAGGTTATGACATGCAGGTGTTCCGGGATAAAGCCGATCCTCATCGTTCCAGGACTGTTTGGGTCGGAAACCTTGGATCGGGCGCAAGCAGTGCTCTAAGCAGGAGAACCCGGATAAGGATGCTAGAGCCTGAAGTATACTTCCAAAACTCGCAAAGTCTCCCCAGCTTGTCGGTGAAGGTCAAAGACATCGTCTTTTAGCTCCACACCTTAAGCCTTAGAGGCTGTGTACGCTAGCCCAAAAGATTGTTAACTTTTCAATTGTGATAGGATTATACCAACCCCAAAAGGTTAAAGGTTGCCTACTCAGCTCCCAACCTCTCTTTGGAAGAACCTTTTCGAGTTGCCTCCTCCTCTGAACCTTGACTACACTGAACTTACAGTCCTAGCCCAAAGTCTTAGGGATTATAACTAGAAGACAATTGGCCCGAAAGCATCATCAGCGAAGAGTGTTGCGCTACGTCATAGAATCCAGTGTATAGGGTCATAGAGTCACCGAGTCAAAAGCACGGAGTCACAGAGTCGGAGTGTCACATACAGTCAAGAGTCGTACAAGTCATAGTTCATAGAGTCATCGAGACATAGAGTCAAGTACATGTCAAGCACAAGTCATAGTTCAAAGAGTCATAAGAGTCATATAGAGTTATAGAGTCACAGTGAGACAGAATCATAGAGTCATAGTGTTATAGAGTCATAGCACCAGAGTGAGAAAGAGTCATAGAGTCATGGAGTCATCTATGTACCACGCACTTGACTCGATGTAGTTCACTCTATGAACACTAATGTTCAGGTTTAGCGGATTTAGGGTACACAATCCTGTCGAAACGGAGTCGATACAAGGAGGCACCTGCACGCTCGCAACTAGACGAGGGTTATGAGCTTTGGACTCAAGGACGGGATTTCGTCATTCATGCCTCCCCGGACTATCAGACAAGACGTGAAGGTGGTGCACCCGGCCTGCTGCGACAAGCTGAGAGGCAGTCCGGCTGCTCCGATCATGCCAGGGTAGACTTCGACTGGAGCACCTTGCTGGGCTTTTCAGTGGAACACATGCGTTTAGTGCTGTTTAATGCTTATGTGCTCGTTGCAGCGATCGACGTGATGAAGCAGCGACCAGGGATTCAGAATCTCAAAGCTTAGAAAGTGAGCTTCAGAACTTGCGGCGGTGCAGTGGGTTGGAGAGGGTCGTGTCTCTGCACGATCGGACGCCCTCCTTCTGGAAACACTGAACCCCCAGCCCCAAATCCTAAACTTCCCAAACACGAGATACCCTGAACCCTCCAAACCGCGGCAACCCCGAATTAAGAAAAGGGCCTCGCAAGAACCTCTGTAACGCCCTACCATGAGCCCCAGAACCCCCTCCGGCGGCCTGTCGGGTAGCCCTGCATCGGACCGAAAGCCCCAGTCGCTCCAGGCATCCTGAGCTTCGCTCAAGAACGGACGTCTTTTTCAGAGCCTGTTTTTGTGGGTTTTGTGGGCTTGTCGGGTTTTAGAAGGTCTTCTTTGTCGTTGTTGTCGTGTGTGTATATATATATATATATATACATACACATATTTTTTGTGTTTTAGAGTTGCAGTTTAGCCTTAGTTGAGTTACGACTTGGTTTCGGGGTGTTGTTTGGGCTGGCGCTTGAGGTGGAGGGCTGGCCTGGAACGTGTCGGACACAGGGCAGTGGGATCAAGACTTACGCCTTGCAAGTCTAGGGAAATCAGGGGCTTCAGGCAGGTGAACCGCTGGAGCCTTTATTCTAGGGGTGGTTGGGGTTCAGTTCTGCTGATTCGGGGTCTCGGCTTTGCGGGGTTGAGGATTTAGGAGATGAATGATGAGGGTTCGGAGGTTGTGCGGTGTCGGAATACGAAGGTCGTATGATTTATCTTGAGTGCCAGTGAGCTCTTGTGTCGTTACTCAGCTTTGGACTGCCAAGGACCCCCATTCGGACCCCCTTCGGACTGGAAGTGTCAGACAAATCAGGATCTCTGAACCTCAAGTATCCTCCCAACTTCGCATCATACTGATACCAACATCTCTGATTCTGGATGGTTCGGAGGTCGTTTCATGTTCGGGTCGCCGGGAATCCAAGAAACATGTAAGTTACAGAACGGGGACTTTACGACCAACCCAAGCCCAAGAACACTTCTGCAACTTGCAACTTGCAAACCCCATCATGAAGCCCTGAAACCCTAAACCCTTCAACCATGTTCATATAACCGTAACAGTTGCATCTCAACCCCACAGTCTACAACTGCAACAACCCCAAATCATCCTAAACTTGTCAGAACATTCGGTGTGGAATTAGAGCAAGGCTCACTCCGGCCATAGCGGTCTGTCCAGGTGGGAGAGGCGGAGGGACATACCTCAGGTGCAGTATACACAGTTGCATCTGGCTTCAGGATTTGGCGTCGGTGGCTTGGTACTCGCAGCTGGAAAGGTGCTCGTAATGCTAACACCTGTTCGAGCACGACGAAGGTTTAGGATCTCGGGCTTGCCGAACAGCGAAGCCTCAACTTGCCCAGTGCTCGCCCGAAGAGCAGGGACAAGACTAGCAACGTGCAGAATGTCGCTGGAGAGACTACTAGGAGTACTAGCAACACAAGGATGGCAAAATCTGCAGAACATGATCATTGCCAGCTGCACCACAACGCTAACCTGTACAATTAGTTTTACACGTGAAAAGAGGGAGTGGGCTGGCGATTTCCTGAGATCGTAAGTTCGTCAGCAAGTTGCCGGTCGGCAGCCCGGTTAAATACTCAAACAGGTAGTTCGGTAGCTAGGCAAGTGGCTAGTTGTATAGTTGGTCATCCATACATCCATGACAGATGGCAAAGGGCAGAAAACGAAGAGCAAAGAGCAAAGGGCAGGGCAGTGTAGCAGTAGGAGTAGGGGTAGGAGTGGGAGTGGGAGTAGGAGTAACCGGAGAAGGAGTAGAAGGAGTAGGAGTAGGAGCAGGAGCAGTTTAGCAGTAACAGTTCAGCAGCAGTAGTAGTGGCAGCAATAGTAGTAGCAGTAGTAGTAGTAGTACTACTACTACTACTACTACTACTACTACTACTACTACTAGTAGTTCTTGGACTAGTAGCAACAGCAGCAGCAGCAGCAACAGCAGTAGCAGTAGCAGTAGCAGTAGCAGTAGCAGTAGCAGTAGCAGTAGCAGTAGCAGTAGCAGTAGCAGTAGCAGTAGCGGTAGCAGTAGCAGTAGCAGTAGCAGTAGTAGTCGTAGCAGCAGCAGGAGTGGTGGTGGTGGTAGTAGTAGTAGTAGTAGCAGCAGCAGCAGCAGCAATAGTAGAAGCAGTCACAGTAGTCGTCGTCGTAGCAACAGTGCAAGTGGCAGTGGCAGGCGCGGGAGCAGGAGGCTGGAACTCGTCGTAGTGCCACAGCAATGACAGGCGGCACCAGCCCAGCCAGCTTGGCACCTGCTAGATCTAGCAAGCAGGGCTGTAGTGCAATGTGCCAGGGCTGGAGGTTTACGTAGTGTCCTTAGGGCTTTGGTGATGACATGCTAGGTGTACACGGCGCGACTCCTACTCGTCAAGCTCCCACAGTGTAGGACGAGGATTGTGTCGCAAGGCTTTAGGATTGCTGTCGGCTGCGATGTTTCCCGGTCTGGGATGAATGATTTGAAGCAGCTAGCTCTCAGCCCTAATGCTTGCTCATGGCAAAGGCTTTTTCGAATGACATTTGTAAATGTCAGGGTTAAGGGTGCCAAAAAAACTCATGATCACACATGATGGCTCCGTTGCAACCAACACGTCGCAACATCCGCGAAATCACACAAGAACCACATCTCACAAACACAATCATAATTCTGCTAGCCCCTATAAGCTTATAAGATCATCTGTGTCAGCAAACCCCAGAGCAACCTACAGGGCCACGTGATGCAGAGCACTGCGAAACACCTGCAAAGCCTAATGCTCCGACAATGCTCGTAGCATTACAAGGCACTGACTTAGGCCTGAACACAGCAGGAATATGCTGAATTGCATTTTGTTGAGGAAGATGGAAGTAAGAGGAACTCAGGGACCACAGGTGCGCCCGATTTATTTCGATGGGCGTGGCGAAGCCACAAACTTGACATACAGATGTCAACTTGTCAGCCTGTGTGTCAGGTTGAGCTTCTGGGACCTTCGTCCATCTGTCCCCCAACCGTGCACCCTGAATCCGATTTCCTAGCGAGTGATAGAAAAAGCAATCGAAACAGCCGGCGGAGCAGCCCTCCGGTCTAACTGGTCATGGAAGTGTAGTAAGTCCGCAGACGCGCTTTTGACCTGACCTGCCCATCTGATACCCTCAGGGAAGAGCCCCGCTTTCTCCACTGTTCAGTATAAGAAAAAGAACCCCCGAAACAAAACAGGAACAAAGGTATCATAAGGGAGCCTAAACAAAGGAAGCAGAAAGCTGGAATTGATCCCCTAAGCCCGAAGGCCTGCACGTTCCAAGGAAGCATGTGCCGTGCCCGGAGCAATCCTTTGAAGCTGCAGTTGGGGAGAGGTTTCCCGGGAGTGTACAGGTTCTCGGAGTAGGAGGTTTTAGTGTGATTTTGTGTCTTATCCCTAAACCCTAAACCCTAAACCCTAAACCCCCGGTTGAAGCCAATCGAGCGCCTGAGCTTCAGGCCTCAGGCAAATATCAGCACATGGCCTGGACGGTTGCGAGTCTTCCAGCGATCTTGCTGCAAAGCCACTATGCCTGAATACCAACATCAAGGTCCTGAATCACTAAGAACCCTACAGACATACTTCGCGCGCTTATTAAGTCAACAAATGTGTAACTTTACCTAGCGTTTGGGCGCTCGACCAAGCCAATCCCTGGGAAGGGTTGCGCGGGAACCCTAAAATGTGTAACTTTACCTAGCGTTTGGGCGCTCGACCAAGCAAATCCCTGGGAAGGGTTGCGCCGCGCGCTTAAAATGTGTAACTTTACCTAGCGTTTGGGCGCTCGAGGAAGCCAATCCCTGTGAAAGGTTGCGCCGCGCGCTTAAAATGTGTAACTTTGCCTAGCGTTTGGGCGCTCGAGGAAGCCAATCCCTGTGAAGGGTTGCGCCGCGCGCTTATTAAGTTCAAAAATGTGTAACTTTACCTAGCGTTTGGGCGCTCGAGGTGGCCAATCCTTGTGAAGGGTTGCATTCCCGATGGATGACGACGGTGCCACCCCTGGCTTTAGAAGAGAGATTACATACCGAGATGTAGAGAGTAAGTCATGTAGAGAGGTAGAGAGTATGTAGAGAGGCAGAGAGTAAGTCAGAGAGTAAGTCAGACAGTAAGTCAGAGAGTAAGTCAGAGAGTAAGTCAGAGAGTAAGTCAGAGAGTAAGTCACAGAGTACGTCACAGAGTCATAGAGTCGTCAAGTGAGTAAGTCACAGAGTTCTCAAGTTCATAGAGTCATAGAGTCATAGAGTAGTCAAGAGTAGTCAAGTTCGGTCTTAGAGTCATAGAGTCATAGGGTCATAGAGTCGTAGACTCAAGTGTCAAGTCATAAGGTCATGTGCTCGATTCTATGTTTGTCATCTATGAGGTTTCAGGGTCTGAAAATTTATAAACCCCTACCTCATTGGGGCCCAGGCAGTTTGGGGCCAGATCGCAAACGCCCTGGTACCGAACCCTAAGCCTTTAATAACAGAACTGCATACTTGCAGTATCTGCAAGTAACGACTACAACTTCCGAAACTGCGTGTTCCCCACATCGAAGGAAGACCAAGTCGCTGGGCGGCACTTTTTGCCTGAAGCAAAAACAAACGCCGCCTCCGCCCGCCGAAGCCCGAACCCTATCCCAACTAACTGTCTACAATTCTTCTTCGGGTTCCTGATTGTACCTATGTTCTGCGATACTCCAAACCCTATACCAAGGGTTCTGTATGGCATTTACACACTATGCGATATTCCCAAAGGGGCCCTGCAGATGCGGCAGAGATTCAGTGGGTGCGCCATCTGTGTAGCGCTCCTCCTCAGGTGCGTACTACAGGGGCCTGAATGATGAGCACTACTCTTCCATATCTACAGGGCCTATAGGGCTATAGGGCTCCATAACATAATCAATGTAGCATAAATAGAACTCCTCAAAACCTAGTTGAACTCTCTTGGCTTTTGCAGTCTACATTTGCTGTGGTTTGGATTTTGCTGCCGTATCTTGTTGCGTGGGATTGTTTTCTGCTACATTGCAAGACTCCTGGTGAGATCGTACAGGATGTCAGACGGATTTGAGTCGGATGCTCTACGGCCTCGGAGACTAGATCTCAGCACCATGCAGTACCCACAAGCCCCGATTCCATACATCAAAAGGGAACTCCAGAAAGTTGGAATATGGATTAATGGTAGGATCCCCTATAATTTACCTTGACGGGGTTACGATAATGCTATTCCAACTTTCTGGCTTCTACTGTAAACCCAAAACTTGCGCATCTTTTGTGCGCAATGAAGGCGCGAGACGACTGCCGAAGATGACTGCGACGTGCGCACGCTGCAGCGACCTGGCTTGACATGTTCGTTGCCAGTTCTCTCATCATGCTTGCTATCATCCTGAACTTTGGACCCAAGCTCAAACCCAAGAAATCTTTACATCCTAAGCACGTATCGTTGGTCTTTGCTGATACTGAGCCATCCCTTTCGAGCATCTCGTCTAGAAGGCGAGCCTCGCGTTCTTGGGAGCTTAAGATCTTTGGAGGGCGTTCAAGGTTCACAGTTTAAGGCGTGGGTTTAAGTTTAGGTTTAGCGTTAGGGGTTTATAAGAGCTCTCAAGCTTCAGCGCTGCGGGTGTATAGATATCTAACGATTATGAGGGCTGATATACCGTTTAGGGTTCAATCGCAGTCCCAAACCCTGCAAGTCGTTGCTCGAGCCCTATACTCAGAAGCTGCTTAGGCTTAGGCAAGGCTGTAAATTCCAGCAGTTGCGATTCTGCAGAATCCTGAATCGATGTGACACATGCGAATATGCTTCCAGCAGCTCAGGTTTATCATATATCTTAAACACACCCCCTCACTTGGCAACTCCGAGTCATCATCATATCTTAATCACGCCCCGTGTCACATATACCTTAAGCCCGCCCCCTCATTGGCCGATTCGACCCCTTTTTTTTTGTCGTCTAGACAATATAAGGGCCTTAAGTATGTTACAGGGTTCCTTAGAAAGGGTCTTGCAGGATATTGTCGTAGGCTTTCGGACCGAGACTAGCAAGGCAGGACCCCCAGCCCTCCCACTCGCGCCACAACGGGATGGGGGAAAGATCGCGTTCACCAGCACATGCACTACAAGTACCGACTCAGAAGTCAGAACCGGAGGAGGACGAAGCCAGTATAGCAGCGAGAACAACATTAGCACTCACGAAGGCAGACTATGACACGCTGAAGGCCACAGTTTTGAAGCAGGATGCCAGGTTGAACACTGTTGAGTGGAAATCCGCGAAAACAGCTTCACTTCTGCATAGAGACCAAGAACTTGAGGCGTCAAAACAGCTGCTTCTCATGGGATGGCCGACCGGCATGAGCGAACAAGACCGTGACAAAGAAATCCGTGGCATGGCACAGTACTATGGTGTAGCTGACAAGTTGCAGGGCACCACCACACTGAAGAACAAGCAAGGACTTGGCCACTTCACCATTGTGCACATGTGGGACAAGGACGCGCGCAACACCTTCCTGCACAATGTCAAGAACGACCCGCACAAGATCAAGGGCAACACCATCGTAGGAAGACCGCAGATACCCCGCTACCGCCGTGAACAAGATGCTCCCATGAAGTGCGCTATGAAGGCATTGGCGACCATCTACGGCGGCAACCCTAAATTTCGACCAACCTGGGAATTGCAGGCCCTATGGTATGAAACCGAATGGGTACTAGCAGTTGCTAACGACGCCACCAAAGTGACCATCTTCGTCCCCGATGACAAGAAGGAGGAGTTTGAGACTCAGTTTGCGGAGGATTGGCCGACATGGCAAAACCGGGGCAACCAGACGGAAGGCAGTCCACAAAAATACCTTCGCATCAACATTATCGCCTTCACCGATGACGCTTTGCAGGAGCTGAACGAACGCTACGCGAACATGAGCACGCGCTCCCGCAGCTCCAGACCCTCGGACGACGTAGACATGGCGAATGCTGATGAGGAGGTTGGTTCCCGCACCCCCGCCAAAGGCGGAGGCAAGCGTTCGTCGTGAAATGTACATAGCGACACGCATACTTTGCACAGTGCAACCGCAGACCGTAACAATCATTCACCTCGTGCACAATGTTCACATACGACCACTTCTTGCACGACCATTACTTCTTCACACCTGCCAATGCGCCGCCCAGCAGGCAAGCCGGGCACACCGCGAAGCAAATCTTTAAAGGAGAATCGTTTCACGACCATTTTTGACGACCATGTTGTATGCAATAATCACGCGCTTCAGCGGCTACAGAGACACACTCGGTCAGCAAAAAAGAGAGGTAGGAGGTCTACACTTGCAATCATACAGAGAAAAGCAAACATGGCCACCAAGCGGTCGCGGCACCGCCGGTGGTATAGATGGTGTAAGTCGAATGTTGGGTACTTTGAACAAGGCCTAGACATGCGCCGTCCGGGCAACGGTAGCCTCACCTGCTCGAAATCAACTGCCTCTCAGCCCTTGAAAGACACCCGGAGCGCGGGTTTGTTTGCCTACGAAGACCATACTGAGAACAGAAAGCGTTCACCTCTGTTATCCAAGCTTTTTCATGGTAGTTCACTCAACATTGCAACCCTCAACGCCTGTTCCCTCTTGAAACCTTCAATGCATCACCAAATTGTCCAGTACATGACATCAAAGCGCATTGACGTCCTTTGTTTACAGGAAACAAAAGCCAAGCGTACATCATACTACATGATCGATTCGTTTACCTTCTACACATTCAGTAATGCGAGCCCCGACCAGCAGGAGCACTATGGAACGGGTTTTGTTTTGTCGCCTGCGGCAAGACGAGCGCTCTTACGCACACTCCCTAGCAGTAGTAAAGTGGCCGGAATCAGCTTACACACGGGAGCAGGGGAATTTTCTGTCATCACAGGTCATGCGCCGCATAACCAGCACACTGAAGAAACCAAGCAGGCTTTTTACGAAGAACTCAACCAGCTCGTAGATAAGGTGGAAAACCGAGGCCCTTATCTCATTATGGGAGACTTCAATGCACGCATCCATGGTAGAATGCACGATGAGGATCTTGTTTTGTGGCCCCACTTGTACGGGAAAGGTGTTGCTTCAGCTGGAGGCGAGTCTGATAACAGGAGCTTTCTCATGAATTGCTGCGTCCAAAACCAGCTCTTGGTTTCCAACACGTGGTTCAAACATAACTCCGCCAGGCAGGTCACTTACAGGGAAGTAGGAACCACTGCCCTACCCCATGCCTCTGCCTCTTGGGACCCCAACCTGTTTGCACAACTGGATCTGTGTCTTGCCCCTCGGAGATGGAGAAATATTGTGAGGGACGTATCTTC